GTAATCGATGAGATATAAAATGCAACTTCCTGTGAGAATTCGACTAAGATGAAACGAGTAATTGATTAATCAATTCAAATATTAATTCAAATTACAACTGGATGAAAATTAGGCCCCAATTATTTCATTTCATAAAATTTGATACATCAAAATAATAAAACTCAAAACTCGTGGAAAGTTAAGAAAATTGTTTACAAAATTTCGAACAAAATGAAAAACATGATATGATTATATTTATAAGCGGTCGATATTAAAAGAATTAATTCGTGATAAATTTAATTAATATTTGAATAATTAAAACGTTATATTATTCGACAAATATATTACTCAATCCTCGGATATTCTACTCCGAATAATATCCAAAAAACGTGTTTTCCACGCCGGAAAATAAATTCTGAATTTAAATCCACGTAATCTAAAATTTTTGTATATAGAACACGAGGCATCCAATTTTTGCAACCATTATCAATTTCATTCCCCATCACGATGAACGGACCCCGGTATACTGAGGGGCGCATTCGCGATTGTTCCAATCGAAACTCGGCGAATTAAATTCATAAATATTTATTAAAAAATCCGGCTTGTTATAATCGACACCGCCACACCGGAAGCGTTAAATAAATATCCGTTTTCTCGTGAATAATAATTGCATACATGGTCCGCGTGTCCAAATTTTCACCGCGAATTCCAACCTCGTTTCGCGAAAATCAACGAAAATAAGTTATGTAATACATAAAAAAAAAAGAAAAAAAAAGGAAAACGAAGAATAAAACATATATGTATATATATATAAACATATATATATATATACATATATATATATATGTGTATGTATAGATAAAATAGAAAAATAAAAGAGATGGAAAGGAGAAAAAGAAGAAGGAGAAAAAAATTTGTCGGTAATCCAAAGTAAAGTGGCATGTATAAAATTAACAGATCGCGCGGTTTGTATGTAAATTTGATATACGACGACGGAAAGTTGATATATCATTTTATATGCATATTCATACAGCGAATTCATACAACGGCCTCGGTATTTGTTTTACGAGCACGCCTATGGCTCCATTATTCTTCCTATTCAGGGAATTTATAAACGGAAATGTCTCTTTTAGTTTCTCTGTCGCATTTTATCAAACGTATAAAATCGTATTTTTCACGGTGAAAAAAAGGAAAAAAAGGAAAAAAAAAAAAAAAATAATTCGCTTCGTATGGTCGCGAATATCGCGATTCGAAAGTTAACGATTGTAAAATTGGTAAAAAACAAGAAGGAGGAAAAAAATATTTATTAAACATTATCCTATCTATGGTAATTTAAAGACAATGGGGAGGAATCTGATTAACGAAGAAATGTTGAAACTTTCTGTTCGACTTTCACGATTTTCGTTACTTTTGCCTCTCTTTCGGCCGAAACCACGAAAATTGTGCAATTCGTACACCGCTAACCGGTCGGTTAAAGTTATGCTAATTAAGTTATCAGGATTCATTCGGTTTCATTCCAATTAATTTCTGCCATTTCGTTTAATAAACAATCGCAGTTATCCTGCTTTCACGCTGATGAATCTTTAAACGTAATTAAATATAATCCTACATATGTGATATCCCGTGTTATGGCAACGTATTCGCGATGTGATAAACAACGAGCGATATAATAAATTCGGGAATGTAGTAAATTTTATTAATACGTTGGTTGGATATAAATATCGTGATATTTTCCCGTTTTTATCAATTCTTGTTGATCATGTTTAACGAAACGTGTTAATTCTTGCAAATTTTTCATATTTTTATGAAAATTTTATTTTAATTTCGAATGCATATTCAAGGCAGATTTACGATGCATTATATGATATAATATACACGTAAGGTAAGTGTATATTCAAAATTTCTTACCTCATTTAATTCCTGATTTCAGTAATTTCTTTAGAATTGAATAATTCTGTAGAATTAAAGTAACATGTTTTATTAATAAAAATTTAATACGAGTCGTAAATTTACAACTTACGATATTTATAATTCCTTTTGAAAGACAATAATAAAATCGATTTAAATTAAATGAAGTTTTAAAATGTTTTATTGAAAGTGATAAATTGTTCCAATTTTAACTATAAATTTTTTATAAATACTTATTTTCAAAGTTTTTATATAATAATAAATAATATATTAATTTTGAAGATAAATCATGAAATAAATTGAATGCATCATAAATCAGAATAAATCACTTGATGAATTATCAATAAAAGTTCCAGATTTTGTGTTCCAAATATGTAATAAAAGTTTTATGATTAATTGTTCGCTTATTATTTGTATATTCATTTTCGTTTATATGATATACAAATAATCGCTAAAAAAAATAGCATTTTTAATTTTGATATGAAAATTTTTTATTCTAATATTTGATTCTCTATTAAAATTAACCAAAAATTAATCAATTTACATATCAAACAATAATATCTAAAAATCTTCCGAATAAGAAACAAAGAATTAAAAATTTTTTGTATATAATATTAAATTATTCGCAAATATAAATCTATTTGCAAATATTGCAAAAAATTTTTTAAACATTACTTACAATTCTGCTACTTTTTATCCATAGTTTCAGCACCTTAGCGACCTCTTCAACCTTCAATATCCCGACGCCATTGTTAACCTCACTATCACTCTATCACTATCATTCTTTTACCACGTGTTCCTCAATTAATTAATCATTATTAGTAATAACGAAACATTTACACGATGCTCGTTAACGCAAACAACTCTAAAAATAATGTCCTCTTCGATTAGATCAACGTAACGAGAGTTGGAAAAGAAACGAGTGGAAGTCGCGTCAATTATCCTCTCAATTCTCATAATTATACTCCCGCGTACAAGAATCGAATTAATTATTACTTAAAACAATTGATCAATGTCGGTAATTGTTTGTTAGAATTATATTTTAATCACAAATTGGATGCGAATTAATTTTATTTCGCGATTAGAACTTCGAAATACGACGTAAACACGGCGGTAGTCGACGAAAGACTAAACGAATCGAGTCGGTTCGACGCGACTTTGCCATTGTTTTGATCGACGAATATCGAAGAATTTCAAGGTTTGTTGATTACTGCCGTGTTACGTGTATCGAAAGTACAGAAATTAATCCGTGGAATATAATTTTTGAGAATTATGAAAGAATCTCGCGTGTTAGATTGTCCTCGCGCGGAATAAAAAAATTGATTATTAAAAAATATTCTATTAAATTTTAAACGACGTACGTTTAACGAATTAAAAAAAAAATATATATTTTTGCCAAAAATAATAAAAAGACATTTTTTAAAAATTCTTTTTATACAATAGTATCTCGCGTTAAAACATTTACAGAAATGTACTAAAAAAAAAAAAAAAAAAAATAGAAGAGATACAAGTTTCAGAAAAAATTTTTATAAAAATATTAATTTTTTATCAATTATCTGGAATCGTAAATTTCTAAAATTATTTATCTTTTTCAATTTGTAGAAAAAAAAGAAAAAAAATCAACTTACCTTTTACATAAATAGATGAAGCTAGCACAAAAGAGGAGAGAAGGAATGGATGATGGTGCACATTTATCACACGATACTATGTAGTGTTGAGAATAAATTAATATATTTGAAATGAATATACGGTAGATACTGTCTCGCATCCCAAATTTTATGGCATCTCATAACATCTCCTCTCTCTCTCTCTCTCTCTCTCTCTCTCTCTCTCTCTCTCTCTCTCTCTCTCTCTCTCTCTCTCTCTCTCTCTCTCTCTCTCTCTCTCTCTCTCTCTCTCTCTCTCTCTCTCTCTCTCTCTCTCTCTCTCTCTCTCTC